TATATATATATATATAATGCTATAAAAATCCTTAAGCTTGGCCGAAAATGTCGGTTTATCCTTCGACAGATTTTTGGTTCGTTTATGCCGCAAACTATATTTTTGGAACTCTTCTCTTTTTTTTCACTTTTTTCTCTTTTTTCAAAACTTTTCCATTTTATTTCTTTTTTCAATATTTCAACTTTAATAAATAAACAATCATATAAATCTAAATTTGTTTCTATTAATACTATAGTTCGTGAGTTTCTAAGAAATTTATTGGAGTATTCGGAATTTCTAAGGCCACTAATGGAGCCCATGACTTTTGATGAAACTCATGTAACGACTTTTTTCTCATCTATCCAATCTTTTATAATTAGGTGGATAAATGTAAACATTCACGGGAGGGATACTCATCGAGTTTCAAAGGCCACAGATTGGCTCCAGTCCCGAACTGTTACTTATTTAATAGAACTAGACTCCAAGCATATTAACTTGGAACTCGACTCACTCTATTTTAACAGAAAGGACTCGGGACATAAATCATCGGCCGATATACTTTTTATAGGGTCTAAATATTCACAATGCAAAACATATTGTGTTCCTCCAATTACACGAGGTCGCGTTTTTGTCTCATGATTTCACTATGACTAGGAAGGCATAAATATATTATAACATATTGGCTTAATTAAATCTTAGAGTTTTCACCAAATCGTCTCATACAACACTAGCAAACTAGTCCTAACGCAATAATATCAAATTTTTAATTTTTCTAGATTTTTAAGTTAGACCATTTTTTTCAAGTCTACATTATTTTTTAAAATTTTAATTCTAGCATTTTTTAATAAGTATACTAGAATTAAAAACACATAAAAGCTAAAAGATGGAGAAAAAGGAACTGACTCCCTTGAGGTAGTAGTGACAAGACCGATTTGATTGTAGTGGGCTTGTCTCGTGTAATTCCTAGAAACTGGACTTTTTTGCTTCTGAATTTTACGGAAAAATGAACCAAGGCAAAGAACTTCAGACGCGTGGTGCAAAATATCACAAATGAATTTGCAATGAACAATAACCATGATGTGGGAAAGTGTCAACCAGATCGTGGCGTCGAGTCTGAGAAAATCTGAATCGCGATCACATGTGACACCACGACGTGGTAAGTGTAACTCCATGTCGTGGAGATGAAAAAATGACATCTTTAGATTCACGACTAAATGTTGCTTCACGACGTGGAAAATAGTGCCACCACGTCATGGGTACTGTATATCTAGAATTGTCAATATCTCCAAAAAAAATGGTTCATGTGTATGAAATACTCCCATGTAAAAATGTCAAATAGATTAGAATAAGCACTATGAATCAACCGAATGCATAAAAATCTCTCATCTCGACGCGCACCCCATAATTATCAAAAGATGGGGCTCTCAATTAAAATCTTCAACTCTCTTTCTCTCTCTCTCTCTCTCTCTCTCTCTCTCTTTCTCTCTCTCTCTATCTATCTATCTATCTCTCCCTCCCCCTCTCTCTCTCTCTATCGTGCGCGCGGCTTGTTACTTGAAACTTAGACTCATTTTTCGATTCCTAATTTCTAGGAGATCAAAAAGAAAATCCTACAGCAATACAAGGAAACAATAATCATTCGGCTACAAAGTAAAAATAAAAATAAACACACCAAACAAAATAAAAATAAGCATAGTCTAAATAAACCACACCAAACAAACAAAACATCAAAATAATAATAAAAATGATAATCATCACTCGGCCTCCTTGTTGAATCGATGTGCTCCACTCGTGCGCGCTTCGTCATCTCATGGAAACCGCTCGTTTCAACTACGAACGTAAGGAATGTGAGCTCCAAATGGTGGTGGAGGCACTATTCCCATGTGTTGCATGATAGCCTCCAACGATCCTCCAACCTAAGCACTATCCACCAAGTCCCTCGACCCTCTCCGAAAGTCTTGCAACTTAATTTATCTATTATGAAGCTATTTTGGATCTAGATATGAAATTATGGGCCTTATTTCGAAGAGATTAAGCACTTAATGAAGATTTTGGCCTTCAAACCAGAAGTCACAACGTGACATAGGATGTGTCATGACGTGACAGTGCCCAGAGTCGTTATTGTTTTGTCATGTCATTCTCACGATGTGACTAAGGAATGGCCACGATGTGACGTTGACTTTAACTGTTGACTTTTTGACTAGTTTGACTTTTGGTCAAACTTGAGTAGAATTAAGTATTTGATTAAGGATTGGTCTCGGTTTGGTTTTAGGAAATTTGGATTGGTTGTTCTGATGTTGAGGTAGCTATTGGGCTTCTGTCGAGTGGTTCAGGTGAGTTTTCCCCACTCTACTCGTGGGTCAAAGGCACCAATGTCGGCCCAGTAGGTTATGTATCTTGGTATATAGGATAATGTTATGCAAGTTATATTATAGATTAGTAGATCTATATGATTACCTGTGTTTGTTAGATATGTGTTTATGTTTATCAATTGTATATGTCAAATCATTATGGAGGGTTTGAGACGGTCATGCTTTGTGCTAAAGGCCAAGATATGCGGGGCGATCCGGAAAGGTTGTAGGCCATGTGAGGCGGTCCAGTCAGGCCGAAGGCCCGGAGAGCGGTCCATATAGGTTGTAGGCCCTGCGATGGGGTCTAGTCATACCGATGGCTCAGAGAGCGGTCCAGGTAGGCTGTAGGTCCTGCAAGATGGTCCAGTCAGGCGGAAGGCTCATTTTTGCATGTTATTGTTTGTTATGTTGTGTGATGGTACTTTACGGGAACTCACTAAGCTTTGGCTTACGGTTTCAGTTTATTTTTTCAGGTACTTCAGAGGATCATGGGAAAGCAAAGACATGATCATGCACATCTTCCTAGTTTTATTTACATTGGATCTTGGGAAATATTTGCATTCTGATACTTGATTTTGAGATGGGTTGCTTGAAAAAAATTATTTCCTTTAAATTAAAAATGAAAAAAAAAATTATCGTGTTTTTGGGATGTTTCATGTTGGTATCAGAGCACTGGTTTGAGTGAATTGGATGAGCATTCATGTGAATCCGATCATAATCTAAAGAAGGATGAGATGTGTACGATCAGTCGGAGCAAGAAAGTGCACCCTAAGATACCCACACTGTTATTT